TGAGACGAGACTGAGACCAAAGAGAGTCGAAAGCGAGTCGAGGCCGAGACCAAAGAGAGTCGAGTCCGAGTCGAGACCGAGACCATAGAGAGTCGAGTCCAAGTTGAGACCGAGACCAAATAGAGTCGAGCCTGAGTCGAGACCAAAGAGAGTCGAGTCCGAGTCGAGACCGAGACCATAGAGAGTCGAGTATGAGTCGAGACCGAGACCATAGAGAGTTGAGTCCGAGTCGAGACCGAGATCATAGAGGGTCGAGTCCGAGTCGAGACCGAGACCAAAGAGAGTCGAGTCCGAGTCGAGACCGAGACCATAGAGAGTCGAGTCCGAGTCGAGACTGAGACCATAGAGAGTCGAGTCTGAGTCGAGACCGAGATCATAGAGGGTCGAGTCCGAGTCGAGACCGAGACCAAAGAGAGTCGAGCCTGAGTCGAGACTGAGACCAAAGAGAGTCGAGCCTGAGTCGAGACCGAGACCAAAGAGAGTCGAGCCTGAGTCGAGACCGACACCAAAGAGAGTCGAGCCTGAGTCGAGACTGAGACCATAGAGAGTCGAGTCTGAGTCGAGATCGAGACCATAGAGGGTCGAGTCCGAGTCGAGACCGAGACCATAGAGGGTCGAGTCCGAGTCGAGACCGAGACCTAAGAGAGTCGAGTCCGAGTCGAGACTGAGACCAAAGAGAGTCGAGTCCGAGTCGAGACCAAAGAGAGTCGAGTCCGAGTCGAGACTGAGACCATAGAGAGTGGAGTCTGAGTCGAGACCAAAGAGAGTCGAGTCCGAGTCGAGACCAAAGAGAGTCGAGTCCGAGACGAGACCGAGACCAAAGAGAGTCGAGACCAGAGAGGTTGGATAACCTAAGGTTGGGTCTGAAACCAGACTTAAAGATATCTTAAAGATAAGAATATGTAAAATATTTGGTGGTGACAGTGACGACATGGCATGTATTTTTTTAGTTTTTATATCCATTTTGGATATTTTATTCACGTCCTGATGTTTCCATTCCAGAATTGTGATGTGAACCCTCAAATCTATCACTGCTTAAAGAGTATGGCAGCTGAAGTTATCTACATGTATCTTCAAGTACTTTAACACACCACAAGCTAAACTTCTGGACTCTGTTTAGTGTCTTACAGCATGGAGAGCCTCGTTACTTTAAATGGCTTGTTCTCGTTCGCTCTGCTCCCAAGAGGACGTCAATAAGTCTCAAAGCTAAGTGCTTCCATTAAAACTTCAATGAGCTATAAAACCTATGTGAATTCACTTCCTTAATCATACTTATGATACTTGCTGCTTTTAGTTGCAAAAGTGCTTCCCAATTCACAGGTCTTTAAAGCTTCAAAACCAAGAGAGTGGCTCATTTAGACATCATTTTTATGCTTAAAAGATTTCAACATCAGACTTTTTTTTTATGGAGGCTTGATTCCATCACAGAATAAATTCAGTAATTTGTGAGTTTACATCTTGTAATTATGACTTTATATCTCACAATTGCAATTTTACATTTCTCATATCAAGGATGATAACTATAATGGCAACAACAAAGATAGAAAAATAAAGATTTTTGGTTGCACTTGATCTTACTCAGATAAGTACGGAGTAAACTTAATGTACATGTACTTACAGTTTCAGTGACCACTTGACATGTATCATAACAGTTGCTTTATTAACAATCATGAACAATGACGATAAACACAACACAACTCAAGTCGCACCTAAATCGCAAAAAAAAAAAAAAAAAGACATGTGACTTGACTTGGAATTGAAGACAGAGACTCATTTTGGTATGGCATTCCCGATTATGTTCTCTATAGTACCCCACATAACAGCATGAAACACGACATTTTACTATTCATTCTTAATTCATTCATTCCCAATCAATATGCCCAGCATCAAACACACCAAGCCAGCTTTATTATATATCCTTCGCGCGACGCATCAGAAGGCACGTATATTCATCACCCATTGGAAAGAACTGTTATATAAACAAACAACAAACACTAACAATATAGCCAAGTCTTACCTTGTGATAATCTTTGTGTCATTTAATTTGAAAAGCAATCATTTAATCCAAAATTGAGCTGCGGCCTGCTTGCTGTTCATTTTCAAGAAGTGCACATTTCCATGTCCTTTTCACCAAGTATTTGCTGCCATATGCAAATAATATCCAACTTTACCACTGGACGGACATTTTCATACAAACTCATTTCCACAGATCGGTTTGTTAAGTTGCTAAAAAAAGAACAAACAATTAAGACTTGACTTGGACATTGCTTTTAGGGACTTGTCTTTAAATGTAAAAAAATAAATAAATAAATAAATCACTATGTTGATGGAGATCATTATTTTATGACGGACGTCCACCCTGCTCTCGTTTAAAAGTGCAACAGCCTCCAATATGCTTTTGTTCCCCGAGGTTAGCAGCAGTGGCTCTTTTACGACTCAAGTCATGTACACAGTGATGAAAATAAATTGGGTGTAGAGGAGAGACCCACGAGTGCGGTTGCCAGACGCGCACAGGAAGAATCAATGTAGCTGCAATACTGCGTTTTGGCGAGGGCTCAGACAATGCATCTTTACATTTCAGTCCGATGGCCGACGCGTGTTTACCTGCTGATATCAGACCACAAGCACACTCGCTCATTTGCACTCTTCTGTCAACCGTACTGTAGTCGTTGTGACAAAAAAAAGCACAAAAAACAAGCAAATGGGCGATAAGCAAGTCTTGTATGGTTAGCCATCAAACCTTGGCAAATCTCTGGGGTTTGTGTCTATTAGCCTGTGGCTCCTGTCTTTTATAGCATCTCTGATACAGTTAAACAGAATTGGTTTCATTTGGGCAGCATTGCTCTTCATAAACATTAGAACGGGACAGCGGTGAAACTGAGATGAGAATGTTCATTCGTTTACCATTTAAACACTGGTATCACAATCAATTTAATGACTAGTTGCACTTTGAATTAAACTGGTCAGCTGTACAAAATGCAAATGGTGTGTGATGTACTGCAGTCATCCTGCAATGAAGGGCCAAATGCAAATTGTGTGTAGCCTCATAAAAACGTTGAGTCTGCCATGGCTTTCTGCCCAGCTGAACGTTCACAGAACTCACGGCTAACATCCTGGCAATATATTAACAAAAATTCATCCAGTAACGTTAGCAGAGCGTTCATTTAAAGTTATCTGGTCTTTAAGAAGCCTAAAATCCAATAAATAACACGTTCTACAGAGACCCTAAAGGGTACGATGCATTACGTTCAGAGTGTTTTGTAGGGTGTTGAATTATCTGCATTGTCAGTCGCTCCAAATCCTCTGTTATGAGTAACGCTGGCCGAGAGCAGCACAAAGACTCTGTTTCAAGACATTGCTTCTGTAAGGACAATTTCAGTATTGGGGGGGGTTAAGATATATGAGGCTATTTGTCATTTAGCTAACCTTTTTTCCAAGCAAGCAACTGATAGGATATTTACTACAGGAACAATCCCTCTGGAGTAACATGAGCTTAAGCGCTACTTATTTATACCACACACACACACACACACACACACACGCACACTGCTCAACACACATACGCTGTTCAAGGAAATAAAAAGCAACTCTTATGCTTACCAACACAGTAAAGACAATAATATTATGATTTTTTTTTTTTTTTTGTACAATTTAAAACTACTGTTTTCTATGGAAGCTTGTTTACGCCACAGAATGAAAAATAAAAAAGGTAATTGAGACTTTTTATCTCACAATTCTGACTTTTTTCTCACAATTACGAGTTTACATTTCGCAATTCTGACTTTATTTCTCAGAATTGCGAGATGTAAAGTCAGAAATGCATGATATAAAGTCGCAATTGCATGTTATAAAGTCAGAATTGCGAGATATAAAGTCAGAATTGCGTGATATAAAGTCAGAATTGCGTGATAAAGTAAGAATTGTGAGATATAAAGTCAGAATTGCGAGATATAAAGTCAGAATTGCGAGATATAAAGTCTGAATTGTGTGATATAAAGTCGCAATTGCGTGACAAAGTCAGAATTGTGAGATATAAAGTCTGAATTGTGTGATATAAAGTCAGAATTGTGATATATAAAGTAAGAATTGTGAGATATAGTCAGAATTGTGAGATATAAAGTTAGAATTGCGAGATATAAAGTCAGAATTGCGAGATATAAAGTCTGAATTGTGTGATATAAAGTCAGAATTGTGATATATAAAGTAATAATTGCGAGATATAAAGTCAGAATTGCATGATATAGTCAGAATTGTGTGTTATAAAGTCAGAATTGTGAGATATGAACTATTCTGAAGGGAAAAAAGTTAGTTTTTTTCCCCCTTTAGAATTGGCCTTTATTTTCGCACAATTCTGACTTCATATCTCGCAATTGTGAGATAAAAAGTCGCAATTATTTATTTATTTTATTTTTATTCAGTGGCGGAAACACGGTTCCATAGTTTTCTATGTGAATATATTTTAAGCTGTACTTTATTCCTGTGATCAAAGCTGGATTTTCAGCATCATTGCCCCATGATCTGTCAGAAAATCAGTCTAAAAACGTAACAAATTAATTTGTAACACTATACATTTCTGCACTTTAGATCACTTTTGATTAATTCAATGCATTCTCAATGAATAAAAGTATTATTTTCTATCCAAAAACAAAAAGTTACTGACCCCATACTTTTGAACTGTAGTATTGCCTCTGACCATATTGGAAGTAACAAAATAAAACCAACAGGAATTCTGTCATCATTTACTCACCCTCATACTAGTTTATGATGCTTTTCTGTCTTTTTTGAAGGCTGAATACTTGCATTATTTGCAATAAAAAGAGTGGCTACCCTTTAATGAGAGAATGATCCATTACCTACAGTCCATGTCTACAACTATATACAGTGCATTACTACTCAGAAAGTACACCAGCAGATGAAGGAGAGGGGGAAAGATGGAGAGAAGGCTGGAAGACACAAGACAAATGACGGAGGAAAAGTGAGAGGAGGGTTGGACGGCTTACGCTGTGTTGCATCGTCCTCCAGACAATCCTCTGGGATGCGGAAGCAAAAAAACAGAGGAAAAAAAGGTATTTCATTTGAAAGTGGAGATGAGAAAGAGAGAAAGAATACCACGGGAAAACACATGATAAATATGCATTAGACAGAAAAGCAATATGCACGATTACATTTGATGAATGGCATTGCTGGGATATTCCATCCCATTCCCTCGGTCTCTGGAAAAAAGCAAATGCAAACGCTTCTCTCTAACTCAACATTTATTTAACCGTCACGTCTCTCCGTCATATATTTGAGGGTTAACTTTAAACTCATCCAATGCACAACCGACCGGAGAAAACGTACTTGCCCATATTGGATAGATTAGAAAGTCATTTTAAATGAATTCTCACAGTAAGCCGGGGGGTAAAATAGCATTATGCACAAATGCAATCTTGTTCTACTTTTAAGTCCAATTCATATTTTCATCTATTCTTGTTAAGTATTATGAGTTAGAAGACTTCATTCCAGTAGAGTAACTCAAGCACACTTCATCAGAAGCCTAAAAACTGTGTGTGGGGAGGGTTAGTAATAACAACAACTATATCCAACTTTGTGATTTAACCCTTAAAGGTGAAGTATGTAGGATTTGCTATTGTAAAATACATTCTCTAAACCAAGTTTATTGTTTGACTAATACAATGCCATTCATGGGTGTGAACATTTGAGCACCATCTAAACACTGAGCTAAGATCTGTCAATCACTTTCCAGCTCAGCCTATCATGAGAGTTGGGGGCGTGGCTACTGTAGTGGGAGGGTGTTTAGCTGCTGTGGGAACATGACTGATGCGTTACATGAGAAAAGACATTCAGCTTTGGTTCAGATGCAAGCCCCAATTTGCTGAATTTAGACCTTCAAAGTTGAAACCGGTCATAAACATGTCAAAGTGAACGGGGCGTAGCGATGAAACGCTACAGTGGATGCTTCAATACCACACAGCATCATCATGCACCCGTTTAAAATGACAAATGTAGGAGTTTATAATGTTTATTTAGGTGTAGTAGTTTACATACTTCAACTTTAAGAAATCGGTAACACTTTAGTTTGGGGACCAATTCTCACTATTAATTAGCAGGCATATTAGGATACTGGCGGTTTATTATTACTTATAGTAGTAGTAGTAAACCCTTTATTGTCACTTAGTCACAAGTACCAGTGAAATTGGCCATCAACCTGTCCATACAAACATATATATGATATGACAAGGGTTATAAAGCACATATTAATGCCTAATTCTAAATGACCTTGTTCTGCAGCTCTAAATCCTACCCATACACTTAAAGGAGTAGTTCACTTTTAAAAAAAAACTTTTGCTGATAATTTACTCACCCCTGTGTCATCCAAGATGTCCATGTCTTTCTTTCTTCAGTCGAAAAGAAATTTTTCCAGAATTTTTCTCCACATAATGGACTTCAATGGGAACCAAACGGTTCAAGGTCCAAAAGACAGTTTCAGTGCAAACTGCAAACAGTTCAAAGGGCTTTAAACGATTCCAGACGATGAATAAGGGTGTTATCAAGCGAAACGATCGCTCATTTAATAAATACATAACAAAGTTTAAGTTTTATAAGCTCAAATGGTCGCCTTGCTCTGTTCTGTGATGCACGTTCGTGACTCTCCTCTTCGAACTCGTTCATCAAAAAGAACAAATCTTTTTCAGAGTCAACTCGTTCATTTCGTTCGTTGAATGAACCAAATGACATGAAAAAATCGTTCATTTGAGCTTATAAAACTTAAACTTTTTTTTTTTTAAATGAGTGATCGTAAGACCCTTATTCATCGTCTGAAATTGTTTAAAGCCCAGTTTGTAGTTTGCAATGAAACTGTCTTTTGGACCTTGAACCGTTTGGTTCCCATTGAAGTCCATTATATGGAGAAAAATACTGGAATGTTTTCATCAAAAACCTTAATTTCTTTTCGACTGAAGAAAAAAAAAATTGAGAAAGACATGGACATCTTGGATGACATGGGGGTGAGTAAATTATCAGTAAAAGTTTTTTTATTTTTTTTAAAGTGAACTACTCCTTTAACAACTACCTTATACTAACTATTAATAGGCAATAATTAGAAGTTTGAGACAAAAATCACACAGTGGTATGCGTTCCACATTTTTGCTTTTCCCACGGCGTTTTCCTGTGTCTGAACCCCAAAGGTCATCACTGCCCACCTACGCCTGCCCACACTGCCCCGCTCTGCCCTCCTGCCACCCACTCACCAGTCTGTCCAGGCTGGTGCCGGCTGCCGTGGTGGGTCTCTCTTCTGGGCTGTACGGTCTGAAGCGACTGTTGAACACATCCGAGATCCCGCGGGCAGATCGGCCCATTCCAGCTGGTTTGGGATGACCGCATCCTTGAAATACCTATAATTACCAAGTGGGAAGGCATCAGCCTGTGTGGTTAGGGTGTAAAAACAGCTGAAAGTAAAGAATGAAGTGCAACGAGAGGGTGTGTATGGTGTCGTGGAGCGTTCTTGAAGGAGATGACATATTTCGCATTGAATTGTTTATTGCATGAGGGGAATGAACAAACGCTAGTGTTGATGTTTAATGCAGTGTATGTCGCTTTGGATAAAGGCATCTGCATAAAAGTTTTAAGTTAGTGTGCGCATTTTGAGCCACATTTTGTAAACGCCATATCCTGATATAACAGGATGCCTAAAGCGTGAAACAAACTCTATACAAGTATATGAATACCTACCAATTTGCATGCATGGTTGCATTTTAAAATGCACACAACCACAATTCATAATGCAATGAATTACAGAAAGTGAATTTCACATTCTCAATGTTCTCACCAGCATTCACTGTTAGTGATTCATTGATTCATCTCATCAGTATTGCATTTGATTGCATTTGCATCATGATTCACCACCAAAGTCAATTTCACGTGTATTCATATAGCCCTTTATACTAAAAAGATTGTGCAAAGATAATGTTGCAAAATGCATCAATTACGAAACAAATCCAATATCAGCTTTAAAGAGCTATACTTTGTATGTAGCTCAATTTAGTTTAATGTTGATTCAGTTTAGCTCTTCAGAAGACAATAGAGTCTATATTCAGTGTCGTAAATATCAATTCAGATATCAAATCGAGAGAGGACTGATGTGTTTTATTATGTGTTCGTGAGGGGCTTTTACTTTCGTTTTATTTTCTGCCATTAAAGTCTTTGAATGTTCGCCGGTTCCCGCCTCCTTCTTCCCACAACGTCTAACTTTGTTACACTCTACAAAATCCCATTCAACAAGTTCCCTATAATCGCCATGCATATTAGCAGCACTTGCCGAATAAACAACAAAATAATTCAATTCCAAGAATACTGACCATACAGAGTTTAAATTACATTCTATTGATGCAAAAACTGAGAATGAGAGAAATAACATTCACATGCATGCTAACGTCTCGTAGATGCAATGAATTCTGGGTGAGCTGACAGTGATGGAACATTTTAATGCCACGGCTGGCTCTTATGGCAGGATGTTGTCTGATGTCGGACGATCTGTCACTATGATTATCATTCAAAGTCTCTGGCTGACATGTACACACTGATGTTCATGGCTGCTGTGCATTTTCAATCAGGTCCTCCTGCTTTCCAGAAGCTTTTAATGCCACAGCAGACCACAGCACTCAGAAGACAGTCTGTGCTTATTTCTTTCCGCCTCCACACTGGTGTTTGTGGATCAAGACACATTTTATATTTGCGTACTGCCCTCGGCATGGAAGTCCATCAGGGATACACGGCTAATTTCCCTGAATATGAAAGCTCCTGTTGAAAGCTTCTGCACCTGATGTGTGGCTTTACAATGTGGGCAACATGAATATTCATCAAAATTTTGACCAAATGTTTAAAAATGTTCTTCACACTATGGGAAAAAGTAAACTAATACGTGACATCCATTCAGTGCTTTCAGAAGTTTTTATATTAACATATTTTGACTACTGTATTTATTGATCAAAAAAAAAAATATTAATCAAAATAAACAAAAAGTTATTGTTTTAAGCCACAGAACACTTTTATGGTTAATTTTCACACAAAATCTGTTGATGAATGCAAACATGCATTCTTTTTTCTGCAACCATACACTATGGGAGTCATGAAAAACATTTTTCTTAAGCTGTGAACTTAAGTTCACTCAAAAAATCCTTTAGACACATGGTATTGCTGCAGCTTGAGGAGCTTTGGCCCTTTATATTTGTGTGAGTGTCCCACATGTCCCTGCATTAATGCCTGCCTATATGTGTGTGTGTTTGCAGGCATACCTTGGTTGAAACTTGTATGCTGTTGTCCTGCATGGCCATGATGGCCTCAGAGATCTTTACATCTATCGGGTCCATGACGGCCTCGATGTTAAAGGGCCCTGCGAGTCTGTCAGCCACCAGCAGCATGGCATCTGTCACAACACGGGACAAAAAACACATTCACATATCAGATCTAAGACCTACAACACACACATGCAGCGATGCTATGACCCCTCTCGCCCATCTAGATCCTGAGGAAAATACAAAAATGCAATATGTTGAACCTTACACTGTAAAAATTGCAGCCATTGGGGTAAATTTTTTAATTACATTTTTAACCCAACATTTGGGTTTGTCCATATTTGACCCAAAGTTGGGTTAAAACAACCCACTCAAAAAAATGCTGGGTTGTTTAAACCCAAAGCTGGGTCAAATATGGACGAACCCAAACGTTGGGTTAAATATGGACAAACCCAACCGTTGGGTTAAGTCTTATATTTAAATTTTAACCCAATAGTTGGGGTTGTCCATATTTGACCCAACTTTGGGTTTAAACAACCCAGCATTTTTTAGAGTGCACTGACCATGTTTAGTCAATTGGAAAAAATATGCACTAAAATATATATATATTTTAATTTCGTATAATATGGATAATTATTCACAATAATTGATCTAGGAAAGTCATTTTGATGTCATGTTGACTTTAAATAATGTTTGTTACACTCTAAATAATGCTGGGTTGTTCGAACCCAAATTTGGGTCAAATATGGACAAACCCAGCCATTGGGTTAATTTTTTTAATTACATTTTTAACACAACATTTGGGTTTGTCCGTATTTGACCCAAAGTTGGGTTAAAACAAGCAACTCTAAAAAAATGCTGGGTTGTTTAAACCTAAAGTTGGGTCAAATATGGACAAACCCAACCGTTGGGTTAAATATGGACAAACCCAACCGTTCGGTTAAGTCTTATATTTAAAATTTAACCCAATAGTTGGGGTTGTCCATATTTGACCCAACTTTGGGTTGTAATGACTTCAATGATTTAGTCAATTGGAAACAATATGCACTAAAAAATATATTTTTTTTAATTTGGTATAATATGGATAATTATTCACAATAATTGATCTAGGAAAGTCATTTTGATGTCATGTTGACTTTAAATAATGTTTGTTACACTCTAAATAATGCTGGGTTGTTCGAACCCAAATTTGGGTAAAATATGGACAAACCCAAATTTTGGGTTAAATTTCAATTTTAACCCAAATTCAACTTTCAACTGTAATGTTTTATTGCATTTTTTTAACCCAACATTTGGGTTTGTCCATATTTGACCCAAATTTGGGTTGAAAGTGAAACAACCCAGCATTTTGCAACCCAGAGTGTATGCAACCAAGCAGATTATGCAAATTAAAAAGCTATATCCTCAAAGTCTGAGCTAAAAAGATGACAATTATTATGTTTCTTTTATCCTCAAACTAATGTAATTAATATGCACAAACATCCCAGTAAACCATCCAGGAAAGTCATTTTGACTCTAAATAATGCTGGGTTGTTCGAACCCAAATTTTGGGTTAAAAATTAAATTTCAATTTTAACCCAACTTCAACTTTCACTTCCAACTGTACATTTTTTATTGTATTTTTTAACCCAACATTTGGGTTTGTCCATATTTTACCCAAATTTGGGCTGAAACAACCCAGCATTTTTTAAAGAGTGTATGCACTCTTAAATAAAGCAGATTATGCAAATTAAAATGCTATATCCTCAAAGTCTGAGCTAAAAAGATGACAATTATCATTTATTATCCTCAAACTAATGTAATTAATATTCACAAACATGCCAGTAAACCAGATGAAGTGTCCAACAGATGGACTCACGCTAAACATGAGGCTCAACGGCACCTTAGAAAGCGTCTCGGCTCAATACACATTTAACTTCACCGAGTTGTATATCCGACTGTCACACGGGCATAAAAACATGTAATGTATTGATTCAATTAGTGTCAGGGAATTGATTTTACCCTTGAGGTTTTCCCCTTGCGCTCATATTTTGAAGTCTTGAGACGTATCGTTTCTCTATAATGTCCCTCGCAGCTAAACAAACGGAGAGTCATTATGTGTTTCTCGCTGCGAAAGACAGTTTGTTAGAATAAGTAACACTGACAGGGCAGTAATGTGTACATTTCCCTCAAAATCACTCTGGAAAATGGGAAGATGCCTGAGAAACTGCTTGTGTGCAGTAATTAAACTCTTGATTTGTCTCAGCTGCTTGTTTGAAATTGTGTAATTTGTGTTTTTGTGTGTGTCAGGCGACGTTTTCAGCTGTGTTTCTCCACATAGTCTCGCATGCTGAGAGCTAACAAAAAGTAGCACTTTATTTATTTTGGCATGAAACTATGGTAAAACTATGTTGTTGTTTTTTTTGTGTGTCATAGCACCATGGCTCCAATTATACAAAATATAAATTGGTAAACATGCTGTAGGCTACCTGCCAACATCTACTATGATACTTTTTTAAACATAACGTACTGCATTTAACAAAAGTGTGTTTATGGACATTTTACTGTGGTATAACCATGTTTAACTGGGCCACTTGGGAAAAGTAGCACTCAGAGATGGTACCAGATGGCAAATGTACACTTATACACCAAAATATAATGGTAATAACATAGTAAATGACATACAGTACGAAGCAAGTGCCATGGTATTATGACAATCATCGCTGTACTGATTGGTAGATGGAGAAAAATGGTATGAAGGCCTGATATTAAATAAACAAACCAACTGATTTCATCTTAAATAAAGACGGCTCAATCATCCATCACACAACACACTACAAATAACAAAAAGAAGTGCCAACAGTGGAAAAATAAGATTGAACGTTTCATTAAGACATTAAAATGTCACCTGAAGGCTATGCTGGCTTCAGAAAAAGGTAAACAAGCTTTCGCTGCCTTTTGTAGATATAATGCAATCTCATTGCAATCCACTGTAAAACTTTTTAAGCAGATAAAAACATAGAAATGTACTATTTGGCTGAGAAAACACATACGTTAAGGCTATTTTGAAAAGATTTTCACAGTAAAACTGAGGTGAAAACAGGACAAACAAATACTAAATAAAGATCTCTGAAGATGCATTCAGTATCTGAGCATCGCAGTTTTGCATTAGCTCTAATTTTTCCAAAAGCAACTAAAAAGCAATTCACTTCACTAAGCGACCGATCCCTGGATACAGTGTTCATGCATTTATTTATTTTTGCAGCACAGAGCAATTATGTTAAAAAGACCATTAAAATGATCAGAGAGATGCTGAATGTACTTCTATGATAACAGGATCCGAATGTTAAGCCTGCAGTGAAACAGATAAGCCCGGCGCAGGTCCGAATATTGTTCACTCGGACATCAGATTTGAGGTGTAGCGCATTATTGTATGTATGATGGCACGGCAATACATCTGATTCCTGATGAATGTAATCTGGTAGGTGCAGAAAAAGTTGCGAAATAAGTTCAACCTTGACATGAATTGTCCTTACAGAGGTGGTGAGTGAGAGCAGGCAGTGCTGTGATTGGCCGATTGCGTTGTAGAAGCAATAATGTCCATCTATGGGTCAGACTGGTGGATATGGAAACACGCATTAAAAAGTAAACAAATCACTCAGAAATAGCCACTTTCAGTCAGTCATGCCTAAAATAATAATAATAAAATAAAAATTAATCAGTGAGTGAGCTAGTTTTAGTGACACTTCAGCTCTAATTAAACATGCATGTTTTATCACCTTCATGACTTACAGATGAATGCTGAAAATAGAAGCCTTTCATTTTATATTATTTAAATGTTTTAATATTAAATGATTTCAGGAATATGTAAATCAGACTTTTAATTATTTTCTTTAAATAAATTAAATATATAGGCCTACTTAATTTATTAATTTACATTTAATTTATATTTTAATTTAATTATTTATATAAATGTTTTTTTTTTAACTAGGCCTATACTAACATGTTATTTTTGAAGAAATGTATTAAAAAAACAACAAAAAAGATTTTTGCTTGTTCAAATTGCTTAATTAAAATGAGCTTAAGCAACACAAATGCTATACATTTTGTCCAAACTTAATTTGATTGTGTTCAATCTGCTTAAATATTTGTAACATTTAAGTTTACTTAAGCCATTTGTGTTGCATTAACTAAAACTGGGCGCTTCGTGTTAGTTCCCAGCATGCTTTGCATGTGGTTGAATTAAGAGAGAATACATGTTAAAATGAAGTGTTATTTTATGTGTTATGTGTTAAAGAAAGAAGACTGAAGACTGATTCGGCAACATTCACAGCATGTGCTTTGGTGGGGGAATCAATTAAATCTTATCATTTAAGATGCTATAAAGTGCTATTAGTAGCTAATAGATGTCTAGTAATAGTAAAGATGTCTAGTAAAGTCTAGTAATTGATTAGTGTGACATTAAAATCAATTATTTTGCTTTGGAGCCTTTTTAAATTCACTGACACTACTAAATTAGGGTGTGCCCAAACATAGTAAATTAATGAATTAAGTTGACCCAACGTAAGTACAATAAATTGGAATAACATAATTGCATAATGCTGAAATAAAGCAAGTTAATCATGTGGAAATCCTTTCCTGATTTTTATTTATTTATTTTTTTTTTTATGTTCATTCAAAGAGTTATTTATTTGAGTGGAGGTTAAACATTTATAAAACAACGAAATGTTCGAAAATTTCAAAAATTGTCAAAAAATGTAAAAAATAAAGCTTGATTTTTTTGCAGCTTATTATTGGTGTGTGTTAAAAAAATTTTTTAAAAACAAACAAAATGGGATGTTTTTGTAAACAGAGAAAATATTAGAGTATTGGTTGCACGTTTCATTAACCCAGAAGCTGTGTATAATCTAAAAAAATGCTGGGTTTTGGGTCAAATATGGACAAACCCAAATGTTGGGTTAAAAATGTAATAAAAAAAATGCACTGTTGAAAGTGAAAGTTGAAGTTGGGTTAACATTTTAAATGACATTTTTAACCCAACATTTGGGTTTGTCCATATTTGACCCAAATTTGGGTTGAAACAACCCAGCATTTTTTCGAGAGTAATAATCCAACATATGGAAAAATAATTTACTAAAAGTCACTTTGACTC